AATGCTGAAACAAAATGAGTTGGTTTCACAGTTTGGGAAAAAATAAATAGAAAGATAATAGAATTTTTCCACCAAGCTTTTTGAAGCCACACTCATATGTTTGAACACATCTTTTCTGTTCCTTTATCTTCTTTTCTAGTTAAAAAAAAAAAAGCTGAAAATAGCTCATTACGATAATACAAAAATATATAGATGTTTTAAAGTTTATATAAGTATATGGTCTCTGAACTCACATAATGGTCAATATAGAAAACTAATAAATAGTCCATTAATATCATCCCTTTAGCTACTAAAGAAATCTGGTAGCACACCAGTTAAGCATTCAGCTGCTACCCAAAAGGTCTGCTGTTCAAATCCAGCAGCCACTGCAGAGGAAAGAGATGTGGCAGTATATTCCTTTAAATATTACAGCCGTGGGAACCCTATGGGACAATTCTACTCTGTCCTTTCGGGTCACAAGGAATTGGAGTTGACTTGACATTAATTGGCTTGTTTATGTTTGGGGATTCTTCGGGGGTTTTGTTTGTTTGTGTGTTTATCACAGTTACTTCAAGGAATTAGGTTAGGAAGTAACATGTTATTTATATTTAGATTAGTTACATTCCTTCTATCAAAGTGATATATTTCATCTCAATATATTAATAGTTAGAATAGTTTTTAAACCATTAATACTAATGAGTGGGAAGAATCTCATTTGAGAAAACTGGTATCAGAAGATAAGAATGCCTTCTACAAACAGACTGATTCTTCCTCCCCCCACTGTAGCTTTTTCAAATAATTATATTACTGCCAGTTTAAATAATGTTTCATTAGAACTAGGTTTTCTTTATAGATATGAATAACAACAATGTACCAAGCCACTTTCTAGCATTTAAGGAATCATGTCATTGGAGCCAAACAGGGCATAAAGTTTTCATTTATTCACTTAGAATTTCCTACTCCCTTTTTGTAACTCTGATTGGAAAACCAAGAAAAAAAATTGTTTTTGACCAACATAAGATTTTTCTTCCCTTTATCTTTTATCTAACTCTGGGGCGAGTAGTTTCCATGATTCAAAAAATATTTTTCGTGGGGAGGTGGGTGTGGGAGACCTGGTAGGGCAGGATCAAGGGGAACGTAACAAAGAGGAAGTGCTGAAATCCTGGTGGGGACTGAGCATGATA